AGAGCAGCCTAGTATTATCAGGAATTGTTATTTAGGTACCTCATCATTTATATCAAAACCCAGTATCAATGTGAAAAGCACTGTGCTCAGTTAAGGCAGTGGAGGGTGTGTAGCAAGTTTGATTTTGATGCAGGAGACTTTGAGTCTGCAGACCTGCAACTAATCTTTCTTTTATTAAACCCTAACCATGCATTAACTGGAGCTTATTTTTCATAACCACAGTCTTTCATTTACCTTCACCACCACAGTTGCAATGTGCAAATGTTGCAGAAAGTGAGAACTTTAAAAGCATTAGCAAAAAAGTTGGTGTTTGAAATCAGTCCAGGGTTCTGCAGGATTGTCTAGTATTGACATTCTTGTTTGGCAATGTGGTTGGCAAAAGTGTTCATAATCAGTGCAGCATGTGTTACACCCGCAGTAACCATTACGAGTCCACATCTTTGACTGTATGTAACACAAGCTTTTTGTTTGCTTTTCAAAGTCACAAACGAGCTTGTGACCGTCTCTGACTAGTTAATTGACCTAGATATGTGGAATAAGATGGTTTTAACACCCAAGAGATCCTGAGTCAAAGACTAAATAGTCAAACATTTAAGATCTGCAAGGTAAGTTGTCAGTCACAAAAAACTGTACCGTATTGACTCACGAATACCTCGTCTTTAAATTGAACCTTTTGGCATTTAATGCATTGTCCTGTTGTGTAAGCAACAGGACAAAACAACTAAAGAAATTAGTGTTTTATGACCCAGTTCTCTAGTCATACACTGTGGAGCGTCTTTGTTATTGACTTGATATACATAAATGATTGTCTTGCTTCTTCCATGAGTTAAACTTCATTATGTATTTGCTGGAGTTGAAGCTCTATGAAACACTGTGGAAATCGTGTACCATATGGCATCCTTATTTTTAGTAGGTGTCAGGTTCATTTTTTAAGTTAGTTTTTTTTCCTAGTTTAATGTACGTCTAGTCTGTTTTATTGTGTCTCCTGGTTAACCCTGCTCTCAGGGAGTACTTTAAGTATGAATGCTCACCCCTGGGCCCTCTGTATTTACAGTAGCTGTCTCCAAAGTCTCTGAGCGTCACCAGTGTGTCCAGGAAGTGTTCAACTGTCTGCTGTGAACAGTCACAGATTGTTTATCTTTTGCCTTCACAGTATCAGCCCCTGTTTGCATCTAATCAGAGACAATGCACCCATTTTTTTCAGGTGAATGGATGTTAACAATTTACTTTGAGCATGTTTCAACCTAGCTCATGTCTACCTTTCAGGACCCACTGTGAAGATGACTTTTAATATGTATGATTTAAGCATTAAAACAGGAATTTTGATCAGCTGCAGCGCAAATAATATTTGGAAATATAATGATACAAATGTTGTCAATAAACCTGTATGGTGATTTGAAGTTTAATACAAAAATTTAATGTACAATATTGTAATAGGTCCTAAAACACATTAACATCAAAGTAATTTAGGTTCTTACCCCCTGTAGTGGTGTCTGAGTCGTTGCTGTTGAATAGCGATAACATGATGAATGGAGCCGGTGATCACATCTCAGGTCGCCTTCACTCCTCCTCCACCAGCTGTGTGCTTCTCATCTGTCAGGAGCTTCTGGTGCACTGTCCTACCTGTGAGACTGTGTGCATGCGTATGTAGTGTAGTAAACCGGATCAAACAAAACTAGTGTTAAAACATGAGATGCCTATTTGCTTGTACGTGTGCACCAGTGCACATGATGGGCTCTGCTGTTATCATGTTTGTTCTTCTGGCTCCAGTGCTTCCAGTCCTGTCTGTCCTGTGAGTGGATTATTACAATAAACTGCTGGTGACTTCCCAGAATTATTGCATAAGATCTCATTATCAAATAAAAACAGACTAGTAATCACAGTGGCAGTGGTTTAAATCCTTGGATTACCTGAGATAATCTGGATAGGGTGGATATCTGTTATCCTTAGGAATTGGTGTATATCTGGACATTTAAAAGACACTTAACCCCCAGTTGAGAAATTTGTATGGACACGGAACTATGCTCATGACACAGGTGGCAGCACAAAGTGATGCAATAATATTCTCTGTAAAGACTTGGGACCGCTGTTATATGCAAATGTGTGTACAGAATTTTAAAAAATCCTAAATTGATGGAAAAGAGTTGGATAAAATGTGTACAGTGTTTTACAGAAACTGCCGTGCAAAAGGTGTGGACTATAAGGCACCATCTGATCATCTACATGTGTTGCATCACTGTACTTGCCATTCTGTTCTCTAGCTCATGTCCATGTATCACCACTAGATGGAGACAGATACATGTTTGATATTCATTTGGCTATGATCTCATTCTAAATACAGCATTATAAATAGATTTACAGGAAGCCTACTGTTAATTACAGTAAGTTAGTATTCAAAGTGTAACTGTGCTGCATTGAATAACACACCAAGTTGGTGAGTGGATGGGTTTGCAGGTGGTGAGTAAAAGTGAGAAAGATATGTTTCATTCTCTTCCCTCTTGTGTTTTTTTTTTTGTCTTGTCTCTGTGTGTTGTTGTCCCCTGCTGGGCTGAGCCTCGCTGGAGGGAGTGCTCATGAATCACTCCTTATCGGGGTTCTCTATTGTCGGGAGGTGCAATGACTCAAACAGCTTGGCTGAATAGACCTGATTCATCCTCTAGTTACAGTAAATCCTACCCATATAGGCTGAGAGAGGGCGGCCGTGCTTGCTGGTGCAACATGCTGCTTTAAAAGTCAGATCTGCCGATACACACCGTGCACTTACATCTAAGCCAGGGATCATTGGCACAGGAAGCAATTAAGTTCACCCATGCAAGTCAGTTCAATTATGCATCCACAGAGCAGGATGTATGGTGTGGCCTTACAGTAGGGCACTATACCTTTACTTCAACCCCCAGAATTTTGAGGTTGAATATTGTTATCAAGGGGTAAATTTAAGGTTTATTCTCTTATCATAAAAATCAGGTTTAAACTGTCATTGTAGATCCATTGTTTATTAAGATAGTAAAGGAATGTTCTGTATATTTTAACCTACAATGAGCAGTTCATTTATTACAACTGCACTTTAGCTTCACATAGATCTTCATCTCTATAGGATCATCAGCACCATTGTTTACATGTGGCCTGCAGGAAAAAAAAATGAGATTGAACAGTATGTAAAACTATTGGAGGGTAAACAGCTATAGGCTGTAATGGGAAAATAAGTGGAGCATTCTGCTTTGCCGCCTTTCAGGCTGCATGTGTGGACACAAACACAATGAGCTCTCTGAGGAGCTGTAAACTCAAAGGGACATGGACTGAGCTGGGGGAGACGAACACAAAAAAGTTGTTCTCGGGAAGATGGCACCGGCTCACAGCTCGCAGATACAAAGCAGCTTCGATATACAGTATGTAAAGTAATGGAAATAGAGGTAGAGTCCGTTGAGGTTTACTGCACCAAGACTATTGATAGTAAAAAAATATATATGTTGTCTGTCAAATACTGTCAAGTTTTGGCTAAATTATTATTTTATGTATAGGGCCAGTCCGTTGGACACATCTAAAAGTCCATTTCTTTGTCTCTTTACTACATTCTGCTAACTATCCCTATTATAAATGAAAGTCTCTACAACTTGCAGTAACAATATAAAGTGTTGATTAGTGTTTTGAAATCTTAATCCACTAATAAATATAATTTAAGTAGTTTGTATCTATTAAATAGAAAGAAGTGTATTGGTGGGCAAGGGGGGTCATGTCACAACATCTTTAGTCAGTTTCTCTTATTTTGTTGCAGAAAGTTCTCTTCTCATTTCATTTTCAAGGACACGTATGTTATCGACTTGTTCACCATTTTTATTATTCTTCAGTGCAAGTTAGCAAGGCTTATGAAACCTAGACTGTCATGCCTCCAGCTGTGTTCCAGCCCATCAAGAGTCTCCAAGGGTCAAATTAAATGATGCTGTTGGCTGCTTATGGAAAATGTAAGATCCTATGCTTTTAAAACTTGACTAGGGCCTAAAATCAGTACATCTCGGTCTCAGTTAGTTAAATTTATAACATCGTTTTAAATTTTTTTATCTCTGTTTTGAGTCCTCCAACTTTATGCAAATTCTCTCGAGTACCCCTTTAATTAAGTTTAATTTTTTCAAATGCAGTTGACCAGGTCTGAATAATGATGGTTGTAACAAATAACCAAAACGTACAAAGTAGATTGCTTCCGTTCCACAGGCAGTGTGGGAGGTAGATTAAGGACTCTGACAGCTGTTGTGCAGTTACATTAGAGATATGTAACCGCCTCACATGCTTTTTCTCAGATCTCAGTAATTTATACTGTACTTCTGCAGTGCTTTTTTCACCCCACTCTGACCAGAAAAAATGTGATCCTTTGAAATTTAAAGTTTAAACTCTTATGCTGTTTGTCATTTGGAGCAGCCAAATAAAAATGGTCTGTCATTATAAGCAATGAGAAGCACTAAAAGCACCACCTGCAGTATTTTCAGCTTACAGTGGTATAATAAACCTTGTTGTCTCTATGCGTTCTGCTGAGTGCTGCCACCAGAGGACAAGCTCGTGTGATTATGTATTCTTTGCAGAAAGCTGTGTAGCTCAATCAGTCTCATACTCTGCCAGAGAGATGTGTCTTCATAATTTGATTCCAAGCCAGGACTGGAGTAAAAAAAAAAAAAGTTTGAATAATTTTTCTAATTATGCAGAACCTGCATCATGAAACACAAGCATGCATCGGTCCACTGACAGCATGTCCACTCAGTGATGTGGAACAACATAGAACATTTTCTGTTGGGACTGTTGAAATTGGTCAGGAAAAGACAATTACTTCAGGCTTGTGGAAGAGACGCCTCAAAGGGGTCTTTAATTTTTATTTCATTGCCCGAAGGGTAAGTGTCTGACTCAGTAGAATTTATTTGCTTTTCATCTCCATGTACATGGCCACATATGTTAGCAGGCTGACATGCTGTTTGGACTGAGCACTGACAGCAGTGTCCTTGTCATGCTCCCTTTAGGTCGATACCTGCGCCTGAAAATGTTCCGCGAGGATCATGGCTCCTGGATGACCATGTTCTTCAGCACCATCCTCTTCCTCTTCATCTTCTCACACATGCACAACCTTTTCTTCAGTCTATCTCTCTGTGTCCCTTTTCCCTCATCCTCTGCTTCCCATCTGTTAGAGCCACTGTATGCTCCCCTATGGCTGGTGTGATTGATCTAAATGTCTCGCCTGTACAGAGACTCAATACCACTCTGATTAATCAGCCCATAGGTGGGGGCCAGGAAAGGGAGGAGTGGTTAATCCCGAAAGCACCAACATCCCACAAGCTTGACTTATTTTTTGACACCTCTCTGGCCAAAAACCAAAATGTTTTTGCCATGACTCGCTCAGATTTTTCTTTGGTTTTTGCTTCTGTTGCTCTGACTTACACCTGCTGAGAAACCACTGTGCACAGTAGAGCTTGACATCCCCACTTCAAGTCGGTGACAGGAATCAGTTTACGCATCTGCAATATGTCCATCTAGAGGAAGGAAAACATGCCTTTGAAGCCAGCCAGCCAGACATGAGGTCGGTGCAAGGTGATTTACCATTTTGTGTTTGGGTTGTAAAAAAAAAAAAAAAACCACGTGGCAGTTGTCTGTTTATGAACAGGTTGTCGAGGGATCTGTCCATGCAATGCTGCTTTTCTATACTAACAACAAGCATCAGCTATCCATAAGGTGCAGGCAGATGAAGGCTGTTAGCTAGCTCGCAAGGTGTTGTGTTTTTCTGTGGCCGGAGGGTGAGATTGTATAATCAGGCCATCTGTCACTCTGAGTAGCACCAGTGACTCTGGCATCCATCTTGTTCGTTCTCTCTGGTTGGCCGAGAAAAAAGCAGCAAACGGCTGAGCAGAGAGGCAGGTCTGCTGAGACGATGAATGTTGCTTGCTCAGGGAAAAGTTACATTTGCACTGACTGCTTCTGTCACAAAGAGGATTCCTTTTTACTGTCTCTCATTTCAGCCTTGAAATGTTGAGAAAAGGGACCCTTTTTAGTCTGTCAGTGCTTGTTTTTTTAACTGTCAGGAGATGACATCCAGATAATACTTAGAGAAAAATAATGAGTTGCCAGTCACACAGTCTCTATTCATATTAGCTGCATCAGTTGTCCACATATGAAAAGTAACAACCATAACAGCCTCTTAAATAATTACACAGACTGACACAACACTTGAACTCATCCATAATTATTTTCTGGATGTGCGTGTGGTGCACTGACATCAGTTACTCAGTGCTGCAAAGCTTTCCTTGCAAAGACAGATGGTGCTGTTGTAAAGCGAGTGAACTTAGCGCTGTCAAGACACCTGGTCATTTTCTGCAATCGCTTTCTGCACCCCCACCCCCTCAATGCCCTCCCGTCCCTCCTTCCTGCTCGTTTTCTCTTTGCTGCAGCAGTGTGTCCTCTAAGGATCCTGGCCCTGCCAAAACCATTAGTGTTCACATCTCTGTTCAAGACGGACATGTAAAAGCAGCGTTCACACTCTGCCAGGACGACCCTCAGACGGGCTCCGGGGCTGCGATAGCATGAATGCAGCAAAGTGAGGGAGAAGGTGACAGGCTGGGAAGGAGGGAGTGGGTGAACTGGTCCAGCCTCGATAATGCAGTGAAACTTGAGTCTTTTGATCTCTGTCCAAACTGGATTTGTATCCCTGTGCACCCCCCTCCCCACAACCATTCCCTCACCCTGCAGTGAGACTCTTGTAGTTTTCTCCTATGCCACAGCACAAAGGAAAAGTAGAATGTCCATTTGCGGCTGCAGCTACCACTCTGTGGGAACGACTGGTGTTTTTTCTTTTAATTTATACTGAAAGAACAAACCGCTGTGAGGTATTATTACTGCCAAGGGTTTTTAAAGGGTAGGCATTTTGGCATGGGTTAGATGGCTTTGACATCAAGCTACGATGCAGGAGATGCTCTTCTGGAGACTAGACAGAGCATCTAACACACACACACACACACACACACACACACACACACACACACACACACACACACACACACACACACCCATCGCAAACACATATGGTTCCTGTCTAGCACCTCGCTCAACTTACCTGTCAGGACATGTATGTGGGAGGAGCAAGTGTGTGTGTCTGTGTAGTGAGTCAGGGGGAGGGGGATCTGTCTCCCTGACCTGATACTGTATGCTGCCTGTAGCCTTCGCATATTTAATATGCTTTAATTTTCTTTGACCTTTCGGTCGATCTTGAGCTTGATTTAATTAAATCTAGATATACAGTCAAAAGGAAAGAAGATCAACTGCACCATGAGGACAGTAAACATTCGCTGATAAGAGATCATATATCTCTTTGGATGACAGGTATTCATTCATGATTAGTTATGTAAAATGGATTCATCAGTGCTGTTATCTCACAGCTCAGAGATTTCCAGCCTGTGTAATTTTACACATGGCCAACAGTGTGTTAGCCAATATTTAAACAGCCACTTCTGGGTCAACAGCTATAAACCTGTTACCTGGCTTATGTCATATCAGGAAAAAAAGCCTGTCCATCGTGGCTCCCTGGGAGCTGTAACCCACACTTGTTACCAGACTCTCACATCTGGGCTATTTGCATTTTAATGTAACTGTCAGATTAGGAGGGGGCCTGTTTGTGTGAAGCCGGGGAGTGTGACCGCCCAGGGAGTATGACGGGCTTCATGACTGTTCTGTCACGCTGCGCAGCCCTATTCCACCATCTTACGGCATCATTACCAGCCAAAATCAGACCCTAATTAATGTTGTTATTTAATTAAGATGGCCCAAAGCATGGCATACACATTAATCATGACTAATTTAGAGGAAGGAGGTGGTAAAGTAAGTGAAGATGGAGACGAGGAGGGAGGTAGGGAGTATGTGGGAAACTAATAAAGAACTGTAGTGGGACAATAAAGCTATACTTGTTTGTTAGTTAGCAGAGGAGTAAATAGATACCAGGATGAGGAAAGCAAAAGTGGGAGCGACTGAGAGAAGGTGAACAGGGGAGATTCAATTTGGTGGATATCTTTGAGGAGACGGGAGAGATGGATGTGACATTGGACTACAGCCATAGCCTCAGTGGGATTAGACTCCATAGTAAAAAAGAGTATTTGTTTTTGTTTACCATGATTCTTTGTTCTGGTTCTTGTTTGACAAAGGGCTCTAAACCAGCAAATAAATGAAAAAGTATTCAACTGAAAGATGTATAAAACTGCCTCCAGCATTCTCTGATCTACTGTTTAGTGTTGTAGACAGTGGAGTCACTGCTGTGCCTTTTTTCATAATGGCATCTCAGTCAAAGATGGCAGAGCTATAGTGGAAGGTTGTTTCGGAGCCTTCTGCCCCTGCTGTTGATTTTGATTTGTGGACCGAACAGATTTTCTGACATTTTCAACTGAGGCTGGGAATCGTAAACACACAAACATCCTTATGTCATACATCATGAAATATTACCATAGTGGTTGTAGTTCCATAACACAGCTGAGTCTGCAATATACAGTATATCACAAAAAAAACCCTAATCTAATATATCATGCTTCCTGTGAACCTCGAGTGAGAAGATTGTGTTTTTCTTCTGAAGAAGGACTCAAACCTGTACTGTATGACATTATAAAAATGTTTTACCTTCAAGGGTTTGTCTATGGCTGAGATGAAACGGCATGTGCCAAGCAGTTTCAGCAGTATATTATGCAGTATCGATTATTTCTCCCAGCCCCATATCATCAGTGAGAACAGGAGTGACTAGATAGACCAATCAGCCTTTCTCAGTAACAGTACATGTGCTTGTTTTGTGTTTTACAAGACTGCCAGAGATAAGTAACGATAAGAATCCATTTGTGTAAAAAATGTTAATTTTCCCTTTTCTTGATAGTTTTTATACTAGGATTTGTCGATTAACAAACTTAATTGACAGCTATTTATGTAATTGATTCATCATTTTCAAGCAGAAATGCCCGGTATTTTGTGGTTCTATCCTCTCAATTGTGACATTTTCTGCTTTTCTTTGTTCTTTGCTTTGAAATTTGTTCATTATAGTCGAGGGCTTAAATAATTGAGAACATAACCAGCACTGGCTATAAAGGAAATAACCATCAGTTATAGCTCTTAACAAAATATCATTTGCCAAAATACCTTGATGTAGAAACCAGTTGCTGTACACAGCAAACCTCAGTAAATGTCTTGCAGTTTAGAAGAATTGATCTTTACCTTCCTCACTCTTCCTCTCTTACTTACACACACCCACACCTACTTTCTAAGCATATCTTGCTGTCTTTCACACTCCTACACATGCACATTACGTTAGTATCTAAAAAAATGACTCATTATGTGTTTAACAAGTATTTGGTTTTCCTCCAAAGCAATGTTCTCTTCTCTCAGAAAATCCCTGAAACAGAGTGAATCAGTGAGGTTGGTCATTTTACCTCTGATTATGTTTCCCATGCTGTTTTCTGGGACAGAGGGAGGAGCGTTGGTGGTGGCTGCAGCCCACCACATACGTCACTGTCGTATAAAACGAAACAGCCACTGTTGTAAGCAGTAAACATCGTAACCTTGACAGCAAAGTGTGTCCCCTGGGAGTTACAATATGTGCACTATATTGTAGATTTGTGCATGTACTGTAGATGTATTGGGGGGGGGGAGCTGTAGGTGACAGATGAATTGTCCATGCATGTGTGCATGTTTACTGCAGTCTTATCATCTCCTCCTTATGTTTCACCATAAAAATTAATAATCTCCTATAATACTTCAGTCCCAGCGTTTGAAAGCTTTAGATTTTGCGTGCTGTGTTCCCTTGCTCCTGCTCTTTGGGTAATTTTTCAGTGAAAACCAAATCACAAAGCATATCCTGATATTTTGAAATGGCACATGGTACAGTTCAAGACATGAAAAACACAAGGGGGGGTGGGGTGGGGGGTGGGGGACCAAAACATTGTTCTTGAGCAGTTAATATTCTCATTTGTCTAAAAGTATTTTGTGTACTTATGTATAGGGCCTACTGCTTGTCACTGCTCTTCAATGAAAGTCATGTATTGTGTGTTAAATCTTTTTAGATAAACTTCTGAAACTTTATCTAAATCCATAAGGGATTTACTGTTCCTTTTTAGGTTCTGTTTTACAACAGAGATGGGTAAGTTTTGGAAGGCACAAACGAGAAAAAGTAATGACATTGTTTGCAATTTCCTGATTTTCTGCATAAATTGGTCATGAAATGTGATATAACCTCACCAGTCACAAATATCAACAAAGTATTCCTAAACACAAGGATCTTTCATGTTTTTATTTAACACACCCATTAAACATGCATTATTCTTTCTTGCCACAGAAAGTGCCACTGTGTGTCATTCTAAAACCATGTATTTTGTCATTTAATTTGGAGTTTGATGGGAATACTTGTGTGCATATGAACTTGCTGGTGTTAAGGTACAAGGAGGTTTTGGACCCCTCTGTTCTAATGGAAATCTGATGGAGGGCCTGTTAGAACACTGTCAAGGATATTGCCTGATGAAATTCAGGACTCAATCTCCACTCAGTTTAATACAATATGTAGACTAATTCTGTGCTGAGAGAGGTTTAAGCTCTCTTGGAAGATGGTACATTGATAGTGAAGAGAGTCTGTATTGAGAGCTTTATACTCCCTGGTAACTGCTGCCGCTCAGTGTTGTGTAGTGTAAGTACGGCATTAGGTACTGTAGTGCACAGGGAGGAGACGGGCAATGCATTTCAATGTGGAGTCAGTCAAGGTCGCAATTTAATGTTCTGAATGAATCAAGCCTTTACTGGGTAGAAGAGGTCACTCAGTTGCCATAGTCATTAAATCACTGACTGTCTGACAGAGAAAACAAGTTTATAAAACCCAGCATGAAGGCATATATGAATGTTCAAGTGGATCGCAAAAAAAATTAAGGGCAATAAGTGGTATTTGATGACTCGGAAGTTAAAGATCTCTGAGCATGTTGCTTTATAACTTTAATTATCAGGGACCTTGAAAATCTTTGAGTTGCGACTTTGATAAAAATAAGATAAAACCATAAACTTTTTTTCTCTAAACTTGTGAATATATAGTTGGAGAATTGTTTAGTTTATATCGATGTCTGACATTGCAGAAATGTTTTTGGCACTGCACAGTGCAGTGTGGATTGTTGCTGAAAGGGGGGAAATCAAAATTGTAGTCTCTGTTCATGCTGAAACTGCATGGCTTCATAATATAGAATGAATGCCCAACTCTAAGTCAATCACAACTTAATATAAAGCAACATTTGACTTGTTTGGAAAAGATGTGGGGCACTCTGATCCATTTAATATTGAAAAAAGCAATAGCACCAGTTTGACTAGAGTTAATATAGATGGAAGAATTATGTGAGCAGTGCAGTGCACAGCAGTGATATCTTCAGAAACTCAAGCTTCATCAAAATGAAAAAGGAAAGAAAAAGATTTAATTTAATAAATTGGGCTTAACAGAGCAATTTCAAACAATTGTGTGACTTCTTAGCGCCAAAGGTGTAACCAGAATCAAAGAACAATTATCTTGCAGATGAAAACTTTGATGGAACAGTAAAAATGACCTTTTTCACTGGTTCATGTCAAACTGGGATAACATCCAACTCATAACACTAACTCTGTACCCTCTATAGCACAAAATTGTAATTTCTTGCATATTATGGAACAAGTCTTTGAAAGGCATTGAAATGTCCTTGAATATTATGTCTGAACAAGTGTGGAAAACCTGATAACATTCCACAGAGGGTCAAAGCTGGCTGAGCCGGCCACGCTGGCACCGACTTTACCACTAGTTCTGCGATTAAGCCATGGGAGCCATTTTGGGGCTGATTATTCATGGTGCTACTGTACCGATGTTCCACTACACTGAATTCTCTCATTAGGTCATCTGGCTCTAAAGGCCATTAAATTTTCAGTCAGCATGAATAAGTCAGAGAGTTCTGCCTCCGATCATGCAGTGTGAAGTCCCCAAACTCATCATAGGTGCAGGGGGGAAAAAGCTCTTTCAGCACAAGGGTGACATTTACTCACTTAAATATGTGAGCAGGGCAGGAGTTGGTCGGCAGGGGTGCTTTTTTTTCTTCTTCTTAAGATTTAAAGTCTTGCATGTGGTGCCAGACAGCATTTCCAGAAGTATCGATTAGAATTTTGCTGCGGGTAAATGACTTCCAATGGGATCTCCTTGGTAACTGGAGCAGTGCCAAGCCACTGAATGTCTAACTGACTTAATGCAGAGATAAATCGCCATTCCAATCAAGGCTGTTTTATTTGCGGATGTGAGCAGGGCAATACGTCACCTGCAGTGCTGCACATTTCTGCCAATAAAATCCTGCAAAAATCAGTTAAACGCATTCTGCATTAATGTCATATGATTTACATGCTTTTCTCAAGGGAAGAATATGTCTTGTGCAAATGCAAAGAACAGGTAGTTGAGAGAAGTTGGCATTTTAGGTCACTGGCCTGTCACAGTGAATCACAATTTGTTCTGTATTGCCTGTGAACATGTATTACGCTTTTCAGATCTGGACCTGCACCGTGAAAAGGCACAAGCAATTAGCATGAATTAAAAATGAACACCTTTTAAAGTTGCTACATTAGCTAACAGCTTAAAAGGATTACCCTCCTCTGCTCTGCAAAAGATTATTTAGACTGGTGTGATGACGACTGTTTTACAAATGCCAAATGAAGGTCTGAATGCAATCAGCTAAGAGATGAAATGAAAATGAACCTTCAAAGGGAAACATACAGAGGTAATAAACTATAGGCGAGATTTTCCAGTGCCCTCTGTGCAATAGAAAACATTTTTTATTGGTGTTTGCTGGTGACCACAAAATGACAAACAAAGACAAATGGAGCCACTGACTTCAAATACGACCCCTTGAAAGCACAGCCAGAGCCTTACCCATCGCCATCTACTATATTCATGAGTATGACCTGTGGTGGTGGTGGGGGGAGGAGGTCGAAGGGGAGGTGATGGGCTCCCACCTGCTCCACTCAGTCTCTCAGACACTGGCTGCCAGGAGATCAAACAGGCCTTCTCGCTCCCCTCTGTTCTCCTCCCTCCCAAGCACAAGTGTCATATAGGAGGCGACTGACCCACTTTTCCTCCCTCCCTGTGCTATTACCTGGAGAAAATGGAGTGATATGGTGTGTGTGTGTGTGTGTGTGTGTGTGTGTGTGTGTGTGTGTGTGTGTGTGTGTGTGTGTGTGTGTGTGCGCGCGTGCATTGGGTGGGTGGGTTTGCAGCACTGAACAAAAGCTTCTCATCTTCACTTACTGTACACTGATGAAGGCGTAACTGAGGCTCCAAAGAAAGCATGTCATTTCTTATCAGCTACTATTGCATGCAAGATTGTTTTTCTAATGATGCGCCTCGGCTTAGTCTTATGTTTTGCTTCTGAGCTGCTGCAGTTGACATTAACTGATCTCACTGGAGTAGCAGTACTGATTTGAAATCAACTAGACATGAAACAAATTTGCCAAACAAATGGATAATTTGCCAAACACTGCGGGGCCAAATGAAACTGGTGATACTGCATAAATTCCATTGTGCTGGTGTAAATTGTTTACAATCCTCAGGGCTTTATGGAAGGTAGAGCCATCGCTCATTGTTTTCACAGGATTAGATTGATATTGATCGACTCTGACAGCTAGCATCAAAATACTTGGCAGCAGTGACCGTTTTCTTTTTTGCCCTCCACTGACTCTCCCTCGTTGGCACTTTTTGTCACTGCTCTTGCCTCCTTCCTTGTCTGCCAGTTTTTACTACCCTGATCACATATACTACAGTTTTTTATGTTATTTCCACTCTTGGTTTTCTTTCCTTGCAGGCCTCACATGGTGACAGACTACATGGGCATCAGGAATGAGAGTTTTATGAAGATTGCGGCAGTGGGGACATGGATGGGAGACTTTGTCACTGCTTGGATGGTGAGATTCCAACTCCAGTGTATCCTCAGCATTAGAGAAGTTTTCATTTATGAAAGGAAAGTTTTATTTTCACCCTTATGTCACTCAAATCAAACTTTAGAACCTTGTTTATTTAAAAACACACTGAAACAAAATGATAGCAGTAGCAGCAGCAGGGTTTAGTAACTAACTAGTAACAGATATTCAAGGTCTTGGTAGGAAGAATCTGAGTGACTTTGGTGATGGTCTAACTATTCATCCACTGTTTCCTTTTCTTGTTTTACAGACTTGCACAGTGATAAACATCCCTACTTTTTAGCCATGTTTTGAGATCACTTCTTATTTTGAGTAGATTAAAATCAGATGTTTGACCTTAAAAAAATCAAGATACACAATGGCATTCTTCACACTCATCTTATTTCTAGGTCAGATGCACACAGTTACAGCCCTCCTCAGTGCTCCAGTTCAGTCTGCACCAAATCCTAAGAGTAAAATAAGACTGTGATCTAAGGATGGTCAGAGGAAACAACGGATGCACAGGGAGGGATAGAGTATATTGGGGAGAAACCTACCCGTGTTCATTTGTCAACATAAAGAGAGGAGGAAAGCTCCAGTGGGATGGACTACCCATGGTGGGAGGAGTGGGGCTTTGACACTGGCATGCACACAGCGGAGACAACTTGACAAGCTCCCTCATCTTTCACATTAGCATTCTACTGTACATACTGCAGAGAAAGCGGGAAGGTGGAAGGAGAGATGGGAGAGGAGGAGGAGGAGGAGAGAGGCAAGGAGTAAGAAACAGGGGTGAAGGGGAAAGGGAGCAGAAGTCTGGTCGGAATGTTGACGGAGGAAGTAGCAAGTGAGAAGGTGAACCAATGAAGCAGAGAAGTGTTTATCAGAGAAAGCTAGGCCAAGGCAAAGCAGTGGTTCCATAAATTACTCACAAGGTTTTTACATTTGATTAATTCAACAAGGTATTTTGAAGACAACCTCTGTCTTTGTGTAGTAGATTTAGTGTCTTCACCAGATGAGCAGTGCCAGAAACATCTCGTAGATTGTCTGATTCAAATCCTTTTTCCAGCACAGCTTTAGTTAACATACAGTATATTTAAAAACATGCACTATTAAAATGTATTGGTGAAGTAGAATGTGGTGAACACTGTCCCCATTACACAGCATCTAAAAACTGACTACATGGACAAAGGTATTTGGACAACCAAACGCAGATGTGATTGTTTAATATCTAATTCCAAAAACATGGGGTTTAATGTGCTTTCCTTCATCTGGGAAGTCTTTCCACAAGCTTGTTTGGGTCCTGGCTGCAGGGAAATTTGGTTTCATTCAGTCATTGGAGCATCAGTGAGGTCGGGCACTGATCCACTTCATCCTAAATGTGCTCAATGGGTTTCTGGGCACAGTGCACACCTGTCATGTTCTCCCACACCACACTCGGAAAACTGACCTTTACAGACCTTGCTTTGTGCAAGAGGGCATTGTCATGTTGAAAAAGGAAAGGGCCTCTCCTAGATTGTGGCCTCAAAGTTGTAAGCACAGAAAGCTGTAGCTGGAAGATTTTCCTTAAACAAAT